TTGAATGTTTAAATGGAAGTTCTTCTGGTGACATTCTGTTTAATAAAACATTCAACTTACTTCCAAAAGGGGCAGACATGTAGTAGATCATTGAATGTTTAAACAGAAGTTCCCCTTTTGGAAGTAAGTTGAATGTTTTATTAAACAGAATGTCACCAGAAGCAGACATGTAGTAGATCAATGTGTGTGTGAATACTGTAAATTAAACCAAGGTTGTTGTTGTTCTTTAATTTTTCCAAACATTGAAAGTACAGTTTGTGATTATTTCTGAATTTTCACAATAATCATAACATAACCGAGTAATTTATTTTTAAATGAAATTACAATAACTTAACTGCACTGTAAACAGAAATTTAAAGATATTCAAGAAATGATCAAACTGGCTATGATCTAATCTGTGGTTTTCGAGAGGTAAGATCCATTACCTATTTTCATAGCTATAAGTTAACAGTCGACTTCTAACTTGGTTTTTCACAATAAAAGAAGACCTGCCACGTGTTTTGTGTTGTAAAGAATGGAGAAAAAAACATTTCACAAGTAAAACACTATTTAAAGTGTTTATTTACATTTGATTGAAATACATGTTATTAATGTTGTTTAAATCAAAGAGCCTGAAAATAACTACAATAAACTATAAAGCATATCTACATTTAGTCCTATCAAGAAAAAATATGGAAATAATATATATAAATATAATTTCATGAAAATAAATATATTTTTGAAAAATATTAATAAAAATCTATAGGTAAAAGGTATGTCTTTTTTCAGGCCACATCACTATCAGTGTAGCAATAATTCTATGATGAAAAAACACTAGAATATTAAGCAACTCAGGGTGTAAAGACAATAACAAGAAGTTGAAAAAAAAGAATTATCTGTCACCTCTACATGTTAAACCAGCTAGTCTTTCCTAAGTTTATTTAATGTAAAAAAAAAAAATATTTTCTCTATAAAACATTCACTGAACTATTATTAGGTAAGTAAGATCCAAGTTTTTACTTAAGTCCCCAAACATTTCTCATATTAATAGTACAAATTGTTAAGGCTATAAGGGAACATTAACATAGGTTAAAACGACATGTACATTTTAAATGACACAGAAAATAAAAGCATAACTAGCATTTAGTGGTATGCAAAAATATTTAAAAATGAGACTGTCCCTACTCTCAAAATATAATAAAACAATTACTGAATAATTTAACAGTATAAAGATAAAACTGGGAACAGTTTCATACACTCGATGTCTTACACTGTCATCAACAGGAGTAAGATTATTAAAAAATGTCAACTATATAAGACTGTTCCCAGTTTTATCTTTATTGTTAAATATAGTACATCAATGAGTAATTGTATTTTGAGACTAGGGACAGTCTCATTTTTAAATAATTATTGTTAAACATTGGATTTTCTTTTAACATCTCTGTTTTAGGAACATCAAATTCATTGAGTTATGTTGGCTCATTGGACAAACATCACATCTTCTTATAAACTAAGTTTCCAGAATAGAATTGGAATGCTCAACTCTAATCAAACATTTCTACATCAACATACATTCCAGTATAATGAGATATAGTAAGAAATTATAGAAAACTTCAACATTTTCACTGTACGACTTCCTAAGTTTTAATATAACCTACAAACATCTATATAATTCTGACATCTCAACCACTCAGATTATCTTGCTAGTCTAATTATAGCTTTATAATTAACTCTTATTATTACAATATGATTCATTTAAGGTTTTGTATACTATATAATCTGTTACTTTTATTGCAATGATGTTAGAAGACATAAACGTTTAAAGAAGATCACTCTCTCTCAAAATTCAAAAATTGTGTTTCAAGTCATTACTACCTTAAAACACTTCAAATTTTAAGATATCTCAACTTCTATCAACACAACCAGTGTGTGTGTACTGTAATTATATATATCTGTACAGTTTTGTTAAGACAATATAAAGAACAAAATAGAAGTTTAATGAATAACTTTTATAAAACTAGTGAGTGTATACCTACACATGTTTCAAATAATCTCATTTTATTCACACACTAAAATCCTTTGCCAGTAAGTTGTTTTGACTTGAAAGAAAAGAGACTTGAGCTCGAAACATCTATGAAAGAGATTCTTTCGAAGACTTACTATATCTGTCGTTTTCACTTTCCCTGGCATCAGCCATTCGACACACGATCTCCCCATCAGAGAAATCTAGGAAGAAAGAAAGCCATAAATTAACAAAAACCCTGTATAAAAACTCCAACCCTTAGGGTTCAGGTACAGCTGTCCCTAATTATGAACTGACAAGAGGGAAGATAGCCTGCTAGCAATAGTCACCTCCACAAGACCTATTATTGAGATTCATTATTTCACTGTTGTAAAGTGCAGAGCCTTGAAGCTTCCAAAGGGGAACTTCCATTTAGACACTCAAAAAAACATTAAAGTAAACAATAACCTTGGTTTAATTTATAGTAATTCACACACATAAAACATTAAAGTAAACAA